TAAGGTCCTTGAGGATGGGCTATTTTTGCCTTTTTTTATATCCCCAATGCTTAGCACAGTGCCTGGCATATAGTAGGTGCTTAATAAATGCTTATTGACATGATTTAAAGGCCCAACTCAGCCACTTCTTACTCCATTCCTTTCCCCACAATCCCAACTAAAACTGATCTCTTAAATTCCAAACAGCACATTGCTTGGATTTATGATTGTTTTTGTATCATAGTTATCTGTATGCATGTCATTCCCTACCCCCCACCCTTAGATTGTAAGCTTTTTGAAGTCAAAGTCTGTCTCATTTTTTATTTTTTGTTCTTGTTACCTTACACATAGTAGGCACTTAGTAAGAGTATGCTGAATTGAAATGAATTAAAAGTCATATTCTGGGATGCTCTGGACCACATAAATAGAGGACTGAGGTTTGCACATACCCTTAATAGTGTGGCTAGTAGTCCAGAACTTCACTGAAACTCAAAAATTATGCTCTCACAGTACTACTGCTAAGCACTGGACGTCGAACAAACATCCATCCATTAGCACTTCAAGAGCTATAAATAAGTGTTTCCAAGTGTTGCATGCAGAACACAAACCAGCACATGAGGTAACCAGCACAGTTTCCCCCTTGAAATCACTTCAGCACATAACAAAAGGAATTAAGGCTGAAGTACTTCTCTCCTTTTTAAATTCTTGTGGTTTCCATAGAAAGGACATCACCAGGGTAGTGTAATTTCTGAGAACTGTGTTTTCCAAGGAAGAATAGCACTGCTCCACAACTGAAATCAATTATGCTTTCCTTCTGAATTTTAATGCTCAGCAAGTTACAAAAAGTTGTAGGAAACATTTCACCTCTATGTTGGTCAACTTACCTGTAAAAAAAAAAAGTGTAGAATTCATTTCAATTCAGCAAATATTCACTAACACCTAGTATGCATAAGGCACTGAAGTACATACTGAGGAGAGAAAAGTGAATAATTGATACAGTCTCCAAGGAGTTTACAATCTACTTAGAAAGATATAATGTGAATACATACATGTAGGCATGATAGGAGGGAGAATGTGATAAGTGTAAAGAAAAAATTCAAGTAAAATTCTTTGAGTAATTGAAGGAGGGAAAGCTATCACTTTCAGCTAGGATGAGCTTCATGGAGGAGGAGGCACTCAACTGAGTTGGCCTTCAAGAAAATAAAGGACCTCAACAGAAAATGAAGGGAATACATTCCATGGATAGGAGATAACATGAACAAAAACATGGAAATGGGAGAAGACAAGACAGGAATGAGGGACAGAAGAAAGTTCTATTTTGACTACATTATAACCTGCATGAAGAGGAGTAATAAAAGATATGGTTGAAAGGATAGATTGAAAGACAGATTGTGGTGAGTCTTTAAAATTTATTAATTTTTTGTTTTTATATTACTTTCACTTTCAAATATTCCTCCATCCATCCCAACCCAGTGAGCCATCTCTTATAACAAAAAAAAACAAAATGGGGGGGGGAAGCAGTTCAGCAAAACTAACCAATTCTGGGGCAGCTAGGTGGCGCAGTGGATAGAGCACCAGCCCTGGATTCAGGAGGACCTGAGTTCAAATCCAGCCTCAGACACATAACACTTACTAGCTGTGTGACCCTCAGCAAGTCACTTAACCCCATTGCCTAGCCCAAAAAAAATTAACCAATTCTGATAATATATGCAATGTTTCATACTCAGTCTCACACTGCTACAAAGAAGAGGAGATGTATTCCTCATGAACAAGGTTGGTCATTATAATTACACAATGTTCAGTTTCAGTTTTTGTTCTTTACAATAGTATTGTTGTAATCATTATATATGTTGTTTTCCTGCCTCTGCTTACTTCACTTTGTATCAGTTTATGCAAATCTCTCCATGTTTTTCTGTAGTCTTCATAATTTCTCAATAGTATGATAATATTATACTGTGTTCATTTATTGCAACAAGAGTGGGAAGGAAGAAGATGGATTGAGAGATGTGGTGGAATTAGAATTCCCAGATATTGAAAATGATTGGATGTGGCAAGTATGGAAGAGGGACTGACTCCTAATTTAGGAGCCCAAGTGACTGGAAGGAAGATGATGTCATAAATAGAAACACAGACTTTATGGGAAGAGATGGATTTTGGAGAAAAGATGAGGAATTCACTTTTGGACATAAGTGGAGATATCCAAAAAGAGCTGGGAGACATTAGGGAGATAATGAAAGATAAAGATTTGAGAGTCATTCCTACAGAGGTGATAGGTGAAGCCAAAAGAACGAATGGGATTTTCAAAGGAAGGAAAATAGAAAAGAGAAGGAAACAAGGGTAGATCCTTTAGTTATATTCATTTTCAAAGGGTAAAAGAAAATTAAGAAACCAGTGATTGATGAGAGAGATAGGTGAAAAAGCATAGGAAAGTAGTATCATGGAAGCAAAAGGAGAAAGGGTTTTTAAGATGGAGAGAAGGGTTAACAAACTTTGAGAATTATTCTGAGTAGTGAACTTTCACGTAAGCTTTTGGGGCTTTACTGTGACTATGAGTATTGTATGTACTTTGAGGTGAAGTTGGATATGTAAAAATGAGAGCTGACCATTATATAATGTTTTAAGCTTCAAGATGTTTTTCTACATATCACACAGTCAGTCAACAAGCAAGAAAATTGAGAGGTGCATGGTGAGTATGAGCAGGCTATATAACACAAAGGAGTCACAATCTAAATCACTGGAGAGAACTTCCATAATGAAAAAATTATAGGTCCATTTGAGTATCTGAGTATCTCATTTGATTCTCACAGCATCATGACTTGTATGGGAAGTCATTTAAGTTTTATTATCCCCAATTTATAAATGAAGAAACTCAGACCAAGATAAAGGTATGATTGTGATTACATTAAGTTGAAAAACTTTTACATGAACAAAGTCAATACAACTACAAGAATGGAAAAAGTAGACTGATTTTTATAAGTCATTATATCAAATATCTCTGAGAAGTCTTATATCCAAGATATGAAGGGAACTAATGCAAATATGAAAGATCTACTCCATCGTAACATTCTGTAGATGAAGAAAGTGATGTAAATTGATTTGTCAAAAGTCACACAGGTAGTAGAGCCAGAATTATAACCCAGGTGTTTTATAGTTCACCAAGGAACATTCTTTCCTCAGTACCATGCTGCCTCCCTATGGGAATGCATATCTAAACAACCCTGAACTTTCACCTCACACCTAACAAATTGGCAAAAACGACAAAAGAGGAAAATAGTCAATGTTAGAAGGACTTCAAAAAGACAGTCACATTAATACACTGTTGGTGGAACTGTAAGTTGGCCCAACCATTCAGGAAAGTAATTTGGGAAAGAAAGATGACTAAATCTACCCTTCAATACAGAGATCCCACTGCAAGACATATACCCTAAAGAGATTAATAACAGAAAGAAAGATCCCATATAACCCCAAAATTTCATAGTAACACTTTTTGTAATAGCAGAGATTTGGAAATAGTAGTTACCTATTGATTGGGGAATAGCTAAACAATGGGGTATTGCTTTTAAAAATGAATATGAATGAAAATTTCAGAGAAGCATGGGAAGAAATATGAACTGATTGACATAGAAAGAAGTAAACAAAACCAGGAAAATAGTATGTCTATGACAACAATAATGTAACTAGAAAGAACAACTACACTGAACATTGTATAAAATAGTGACCAAGCTTGGTTCCAAAGAAGAGATGAGAAAATGCACTTCCCTCCCTCCTATCCAGAGGTAGAGGACTGTGGATGTGGAACATTGACTATGCCCATTAGACTTGGTTAATGTATCGGTTAGTTTCAATCTCTATTCTTTTCTCTTTCTTTTATGATGCTTATTAAAAGGAATGTCTCACAGTATAGGGGAGCTATGAGGAAACCTATCTGGAAATAAAGGTGATGTAAAAACAAAGATACTTTTGATTAAAAAAAAAATCTTAAGATTCAGAAAGATTAAGTGAGCTGCAAAAGATAAAACAACTGGTAAGTGAGGAATTAAACCCAGGTCAACTAACATCTAAGTCCCATGCATATCCCAATACAATATAGTATTTAGCTCTCTAGAAAGTTGATTTAAAATGCCATTTTAAAAGAAAATACATCTTAGAGAATCAATTAGGCTTATATTGTACTGATTTAATACTGTTGAAGTTGCAGTTGAGGAGGTGTGATGTGATAGAAATAACACTGGATTGCACTCAAAAGACATGAGTTTGAGCCTGAGCTCTGCAGTTTACAAACTGGGGGACCTTGATCAGGTCATTTTCCTCATATGTAAAACAGAGATGCTAATACTTCTTATGCCTACCTCATAGGGCTATTTTTAGGCAAATTTCTTTGTAAACTAAAAGGTACAAGGTTAATTCCATTTACTACCCATATCTTACCTCAGTGTGTCTCAGTTTCATCTCCTGTAAAATTAGGGGGTTAGTTGTAAGAGCTTATGGTTTTGTTATTTATATTTTATTGTTTTCACATGTGGCAGCTGTAGTCTGCAGATGTTGCCCAGAGACAATGAGTGCTTACTCCTTGAAAACTGAGTTAGAACCTAAGCCATACCTAAAAAGCTACACGGTCAGAAAGTGCATGCTAGGGCATGAAGAGAATTAGGAGACCAGTGCTAAGCCAATTCTAAGTGGCTTTTGGCCTATTCAGCTGTGACAATAAAAACAAAGGCTATAATAAGAGCCAAAAGAGCCTGACAACCAGAAGAGTAATTAGGTAGAGGCTCAAGGCAGAAGGTGCGGCAATGGAAGGGACTCCAAAGGTATAATACAAATTCCCCAATTTCCTAAGTTTCAGAGATCATGCGAGGGAGAGATTTGTATACCCCTAATATTATAATTCTGTAAGTTGAAAATTCATTTCATTTCTGTTCATCTGGGGCCTGTCTTTAATATTCACTCTGTCTCTGTCTGACTGCCCTTCTTAAGAACATTTGGTGTGTCTGGCTTACAGTTATATTTTCCTTTGCTTTCAGGACAGTGGATCAGGCGATAACAGCTGTGTTGAAGAAATATTACGGGTAGGAACTTTTTAAAATCCCATATATCACATTGTTGGGCATATAATCTAAATGGGAACTAAGTAGGAACTACCAGACCCATGATGTCTTCCATAGTCCCTATCCTTAACCCCTTAATTTAAAAAATATATTTTTACTATTATCTATAGCAATCATTTTAGTTATCTAGATAACGTTTTCTGTTATAAAACTTCTGGAAGGAAACCAGTTGAGCTTCAGGATGCCATGGTCTCTTGGCAAAAACAAGGATGACCTTTACTAAATTGATCAGCAAGAAGATAGGATAGAACTATAAATGAAAATATATACTGTTGTTCACATTTGGATGCTTCCATTTTTCACATCAATATTTAAAATCATCCTTTAATGGCCTGTACCTTTGAAGTGAGGCAGGAGTTGGCTTGCTATTTTTTCTCCTAAACTTAATTAGAATTGGTATCACTCCAGTGAAAAGGTAGTGTTCAGTGTCTGATAAATTATTTTCATATTGTTTTGCATATCATTATTATCCTCATTACTATTTGTATTTCAGAACTCTTTATCACAGTCACCTTTATTTTATGTTCACTGTGTGAAACAGTTTCATACTCAGATTGGTCTAGGTTAGGATATGTTTCCATATTGAGTGTTTCCTTAAGTAGACAAACTTACAATCAGAGTGTCATCTACTACCCATATTCTTCACTCATATTTTCTTTTTCAGAGTAGTAACCTAATAATTTGCATTTCTCAGAAAGCTTATATTTTACTGGGCAAAACACCAAGACAAATTAGACCAGATGGTATGGCAAATCCCAGCAGGAGAAAAAAAAACAACTTCATTTTAATATGTTTCTATCTTTTGGACATTGTACACACTTTTTCTAGAATTGTTATTGAATCATAGTAATATAGTTATTTGGTTTAGAATTCTACATTAGTAATCATGCTATTCCCAAAGGCAGGTTTCTTTCTTGCAGATATTGTCAAATAATCATATGTCTTTCAAAGAGGCCAAATACTTTATTTAAGATTGATCTGTTGAGTGTCTTGTGATTTTTCTTCCTGGCAGTTTAACTTAGAAAACATTTGTCAGAAGCAGGCAGGTCCTCCCCTCCCTGCCTTTTCTGGTATTGAAATGTGTGTTAAATTATTCCATCTTTTCCATTCAAATGTTTGTTTCAGATTAAATTCAACCAACTAATTCATCAATAAATATTTATTGAGTACCCATTAGGTGCCCTAAGGCAGCATCCTAACTTGAGTTTCTCTCTCTCATTCTGTCTGTCTCTGTCTCTGTCTCTCTCTCTCTCTCTCCTTTCAGTGTATGTACATTTTTGGGGACCAGAATATTCATAGATATTGTTAACAGGGCAAATAGCCTTCCTTTGGTGCATCATGGTGTTTGTGCATGATACATAAAATGCCATGAGAGATTAATTCTTACCTTACCTTGGAATCAAAAAAAAATTAAGTAGACTTCCTTCTTGTTCTCCCCCCACTTCTTTTTTTCCTGTAAAACCTGATGGTGTGGTGGGAAATGGTCATTTCATCTTTTTTCTTCCATGTTTCAAAAAGTGTTCACAGTTTTACTAAGGAATTCAGTAATACATACACCCAAAGCACCTTATTTACTTAAAACAAAGCAAATACAACACAGGATTTTAAAGTCATACTGTTCCAAAACATTGCATTTTCATGCTCCTCAGTCACTGTCCACAGTACTGAACTTCAACTTTCCCAGTCTCACATATAGTGCCATACCTGGGTACCACCATAGCTATGCCGGTGCTTCCAACATTGCCATAGGGTCTGTGGGAAGGATTGAGTATAGAAAAGAAGAAAGTCTTGGATAGAATGAAAGAACAGATTTGCAAGAGCCTCCTAAATTAAAATTTTGTCAAGTGATAATGTGATTGTGTAATAATAACACAGTTATTATACATATATACACATTATAAATATATACTATATACATTATACATATATACATTGTATATAAATAGATATAGATGTCTATCTATATCTATAAAACACTGGTTGGCACAGTTTTTTTTTCTACAACACTTCAGATGGCAATATGCTATAGAAGACCAGGAGCAGCCAGAAGCCAGGGTAGTAATGATAGTAAGCTAGACTTTCTTGTACCTTCTCCTCCTTTCTTGGTGATGGTATGGGTGATGTGTCTGGACAGAGAAAGTGCCACCATCTAGATGAAAGTGACAACTGACCCAAGAAATTGCATGTTATGTAACTGTGACACTCTCACCTAAGCTTGTGTTCTGAAGTATTAAGATTATCAAATAAATTCAACCTGATATAATCTACTCAATTCAACAAACCTTTATTAAGGGCATATGCAAGGCACCATACTAGCCAGTAGACAAAGTACAAAGACAAAAATACTATACTCCTATCCTTCAAGGGCTTACTTTCTGTTGGACATTCTAGAAAGTGTTTTCTTTGCCAGATTTCCTTTTAATGAGATTGAGAATTTTACTTAGCTTTAATTTGGTACTTTCCTTCCTTCCTTCCTTCCTTCCCTCCTTCCTTCCTTTCTTCTAACTATTTCATGCAGACTGGCAATGCAGTTGTCATTCACAGCCTGATCCCAATACTCATCAGCGGAGAAGCTTTAATCTACTTCATTTTTCTGACCTGCACCAGTTTACCTTAGGGCATGTGGGTGGCATTCTGTTCCCATGGGCTGACCATAATAGTGCCAGTCTTAGTGTGGACACATTATCAACTTTAGTCCTTCTGTAGCTCAGAACACCTGACTTTAAGCAGTCCACCAGCCACAGCCTCCCTAGTAGCAGGGACTACAGGTATATGTGACCACACCCAGCTAGTGCCTTGTTTTTCCTGTTATTTATTCTGTATATGTGACCAGTGCTATGAAACTTATAGTGAATATCACGCTGTATATTCTTGCATTTCTGTCACTGAGACTATTACTCTATAAGTTATGGGGTTATTTTTATGGGGTTAGGACTAGATCATACAGATACTCTTTAAAAAGAAAAAGATTTCAGTTCATAGTTTCCACTCATTTTTTTTTCTGGACCCACTATGTAACTATAAATCAATCAAAGGAGACTGCATTTTGTCAATGAGTCACTGCTCATTAATAGAATAATTGTGGTAATTGTGATGTTTGGGCTTATGCTTCCTCTTTCATGATATCTAAGAGCCAGATGGGTACCTCTGGGCACATGAACATGAGTATTTGATAACTGAAGTTATCGACCCTTTGCTTGACTTCCCCTTTCTTCCTTCTCTCTCCTTTTTGCTGACGTGATTGCCTTAGAGTCATTTGGATCTAACAGTATGTTCTAAAGCATAATGATTTTATATTCCTACTCTGTGTATTTTAATCATGGGACCTAATAAATCTGTGTGTTATTGCAAAATTCACTTAACCAAGGGAGAAATTATATCTGAGTTCTGAGAAGATGGGAGATCAGGTCTTGAAGCCCTTATGGCTGACATATGTTTGCAACAGACAGCCTTCCAAGTTCTACAATATTTCATCCTTAAAGGTTCCAGTGCTGTAATACTTAGGTGCTTTCTGTTGCATTATCCATTAACGTAGAATGGCATTAACATTTGTTCAGCAAATAAAATCTGTTTAGAGTTTAATGGGTTTCTGCAGCACTAGAATCCAGGATGCATAAGTTTCAGCCAAGACAGTTTTAGATGGCAATTACGAAGTCAGACGGAGGGGCACAATCCATACAGTATACAATCATGATAAAGACGAAGATATGAGCATAACTAAAGGGCTCTGGATAATAGAGATTCTGGATAGTATTTCAATGACAACATGGAAAGAGATACTGGTGGTGATGGGTAAATCCCTTTCACTTCTTCTGACCATCTAGGTGGCACTGAAACATTTTAATGGATTACCTTCTTCTTAACCTGATAAAAAGTAATTTCCTTGAGAGCAAGGATTTTCCATTTTTCTCTTTGTATTCCCAGAGCCCATTATAGTGTCTGGGCCATAGTAGACTCTTAATAAATACCTACTGATTCACTGTTTAGCCATCCCTCTTGCCAAATACTGTTGATTCTCTCACCCTACTACCTTTCAGGGTTGTCCCCTCCTCTCCATTCATACTGCCAATACCTTAATTCAGCCTATTTCACCATTTCATCTGGACTAATTTACACTAGATTTGTAAGTAATCTCTCTGTCTCCACTTTTCCCCTTCTCCAAACTATCCTACGCAAACACTATGCTGATCAATTTTCCAGGAACAGATCTGGCCATGATATTCCCTGCTGACAAACCTTTGCTCACTCTCTATTTTCTATATCCTCTTTTAGATTCTAGTCCTTCATTTCCTACTACTTGCTAGGGACCTCCATCTTGATGTTTTGTTACCATCCCAAACTCAACCTATCTAAAGTTAAACCTTCTCCACAAAGCCAGATCCTTCTCTTGACCTTTCTGATTCTCTCAACGTTCTCTTTCCTTTGCTCAATCATACAACCTCACATCTTTCTGAGTTCAGATCTGGTCTCAGACATTTACTAGCTGTGTGACCCTGGGCAAGTCATTTAACCCTGTGTCCTCAGTTTCATTGTCTGTATAATGAACTGGATAAGGAAATGGCAAACCACTCCAGTATCTCTGCCAAGTAAACCCCAAATGGGGTCACAAAGAGTCAGACAAAACTGAAAACAACCGAACACCACCACCACCACCACGACCCTCACAGTCTTCTAATGATCTTTGACTATTTCCCCATTGATCCCCATATCCTATGTGTTTCTTCTTTTACAATGTTTCTCACAGTCATCATTTCCCCTGCCACCACCAATCCAAGCCCTGATCCCTATTTCAAGACTCTCTTAACTGGCCTTCCTGCACCACATCTCTTTTCTTTCTATTCAGTCCTGCATACCATGGCCAGACGGATCTCCCTAAAGCATCACTTTCAGCATGCCACAGTCTGGCCTCAAACTAGTGCTACAGTCATTACTCTCCCATTACTCTTTTATATGAACCCTCT